CCTATGTTCTTTCTTTATTTTTATTTTTTATTTTCTCTTCCTTTCAGTGTTCTCTGTTATATTACTGATCAGACAACAAACTCTGAACACCATAATCTAAATTAACATTCCATTTTGCTCCTAAGAGAAAAAAAATGTTGTTTTGTTTCATGCCCATGATTCGATCCTTCTTCAAATCATGTCCATGCATTCTGCTTTTGTTGGTGATGTCATGCTCTTGTTTCACTTCAACAGGTTCGTCCATTCATACTGCCTTTTTCTCATCAAAGTTTTTGAATTTTCGTTGGTTTTGTGTTCATGGTTATTGGGTTGTCTAGTTTTTGTTCCTTTGTGCCTGGCGTGGACCTTACGGTGTGTTGAATTGGAATGAATGCTTGAGATTGCTGGCAAGTTTTGTTCTTTGAAATTGTTCAAGAAATTGGGACGATGATTTTTCTCCAAATTTGAGAGATTTTATTCTTTTATTGGCTTCCGGTGGCTTTTTATCAGGAACCTTGATATCATCACCCAAAAATTAGTTCAAAGGTGGGAGTGACCACGACCTTATAAATCGTAACATTGCCACCCTTTTCAGAGTCGACGTCCACGGCTACTTTCACTCTATCGACACTGACCTGATGGTAGCCCTTTTCCCTTTTAAGGCAACTTCACTCACCTATCAATATTAGGTGTCCAAAGACACTTTAATCCAGCCTATAGGTAGCCCTTTCTATAGGCTCGACTTTCAATGAAAGCACCAATTGTTATGAACCTTGAAATCACCACCTTAAAAGCTAGCTCTAAGGGTGAGAGTGTCTAAAGACCTTATAAACCCCACGTTAGTTTCCTAGGGACTCGTAACACTTTTCATGTTGATGCCAATGGTTTTAGTAGAAAATATGGCGTTTTGCTTCCTTTTTTTTATTCTTTCTTGCTTGCTATCAAAATTTTGGTACCAAGCAATGAAATTGATATTCTGATTATCTATATATCTTATAATAAAATGCTTGGCTGGCTCTTTAATCTCCTTTCCTTATAATAATTTTTTCTTTCTTTCCTTCTGATTAATTCACTTAAATTGATTTAATTTGAGGTTGGCTCTTTATCTTTCAGAAGCTTATGATCCACTTGACCCAAATGGAAATATCACAATCAAATGGGATATTATAAGCTGGACACCTGATGGTTATGTTGTAAGTACATTTTTTTACAATATCACTTCACTAATATTAGAAGCAAATAATCTGTTGTACAATTAGACATGGTCTTCAAATGTTTTTGGGTGTTTATCTCTCTACTAGTTAGACACATCTTTTGTGATGGATCTGTATGTTACATCAGTTGAATCTCATGTGTTATACATCAGTTCTTACTTGGATAATTCAACTTGCTAAAAAGGTTGGAAAACAACATCATTCTATTCCGATTAGTAGGGTTTGAATTTCGGATCACACTTTTATAGATTTTTTTAGTCTGTATTTACTATTTAAGTTGTAAAGTTATTGACTAAAGTTCAAGTATATAAATGAGTTCATTTATACTAGTGGCTTGATCTATTTAGAATGGATTGAGTTTATTTTTGTTCCAATTGTTATTTAGACGTGTAAGAAACAATTGAATGGACAGGCTGTTGTTACGATGAACAACTTCCAACAATATCGACATATCTCAGCACCGGGGTGGTCACTCGAATGGACATGGGCAAAGAAGGAGGTAATATGGAGCATGGTGGGAGGGCAGGCCACTGAACAAGGAGATTGTTCAAAATATAAGGGAAACATCCCACATTGTTGCAAAAAGGACCCAACAATTGTAGATTTACTTCCTGGAACACCTTACAATCAACAAATTGCAAATTGCTGCAAAGGTGGTGTACTTAGCTCATGGGCCCAGGATCCAACCAATGCAGTTGCAGCATTTCAACTCAGTGTGGGTAATGCTGGTACAACTAACAAAACTGTCAAATTGCCACAAAACTTCACCTTGAAAGCACCAGGACCGGGTTATACATGCGGGCCAGCAAAAATCGTGAAACCCACTCAATTTCTTCAACCAGACAAACGGAGAGTGACCCAAGCACTCAGTAAGTTAATGGACTTTTATGTTCATTTCTTCAATTTTCAGTGTAATTATCTAGTTTTGTTAGTACCAAAATGTGGTAAACTAGTAATAATGTTATTCTGAATTCCTACTTCCTATTAGCAAGATCCAACAACTTACTTGGAGTGACCTTAATATTACTATGATTTGTTGCAGTGACATGGAATGTGACATGCACATATTCACAGTTTCTAGCTCAGAAAACTCCCACTTGCTGTGTCTCCCTATCATCTTTTTATAATGATACTGTTGTACCTTGCCCAACATGTGCATGTGGCTGCCAAGGCAAATCATCTGAATCAGGGAATTGTGTAAAGTAGGTTTTTATTTCTCAGGAAACTGTGATTTCCTTCTAAAAAGTAATGAGAATACTATACACTCACATATGTCCTTTTTCTGTGTGATTACAGTCCAGATTCCCCACATTTGGCATCAGTTGTTTCTAACCCTGGACAGAGTAGCATTGCACCTTTGGTTCAATGTACTAGTCATATGTGCCCAATCCGAGTTCACTGGCACGTTAAGACTAACTACAAGGAGTACTGGCGTGTCAAGGTCACCATTACTAATTTCAATTACAGGATGAATTATTCTCAGTGGAACTTGGTAGCTCAACACCCAAACTTTAACAATCTGACCCAACTTTTCAGTTTCAACTATGAGCCAATAACTCCCTACGGTTCAATAAGTAAGTGTGACCTTTTGCAATCTACTAGACATAAAATACTTATGGTTCTTTAACCTTAATTGATAATAGTGTACATTTTTAGACCATTGGTAGTAGCATATCTGACAACCACTATATGAATATGAAGGGGTTGTAAAATTTCTTGATTAGTAAATTTCTTTATCATATTCTAAATTTTCTGGTTGAGAGAGAGCGTTGGAGTAATTGAGTACCGGCTAACGTTGTTCATTTGTAATCAAAAGGTCACAGGCTCAAGTCTGAGTTGTAAAAATGCAAGGGTAATGTCTCGTATAATCGACCCTCATCCCTATCTTCACAAAGTCGAGAAGTTTTGTGCACCCAGGGTTGCCTTTTTCCCTTTTTATTCTAAGTTTTCTGGTTCTAATCACTGTATGAGGAACGTATATATTCTTATTTTTACCCTAGAACATAAAACTTCTTACTCCTTATTTTTAGCAGAAGCAAAATAAATACATAAAAAGTTATTGATATATAAGTTTCTTTCAACAGATGATACAGCATTGCTTTGGGGAATCAAGTTCTTCAATGATTTTCTCATGCAAGCAGGCCCTCTTGGTAATGTTCAGTCAGAGCTACTTTTCAGAAAGGATAAAACTTTTACTCTTGATAAGGGTTGGGCTTTTCCTCGGAGGATCTATTTCAATGGTGACAATTGTGTGATGCCACCACCTGATGCTTATCCGTGGTTACCTAATGCTGGTTCCCGTCAAGAGGTTTCTCTGCTTGCTTTGATGATGACATCCTTGTTAGCCTTGGTGTTTTATGCATATCCTTAAAGTTCATATCTGAAGTTTTCAGCCTGACCAGTTTTGACTCAAATTTGGGATGTCAATTTGGAATTCAAACCAATCTGGAGTATGACATCAAGTGACATTTCAAGAATACCTCAGTTGTCCCATGATTTGTGACTAGGTTTCAGCATATTGGTGGTTGAATCATTTCTGTCTTTTGTAATGTGATGATGAATTTATTGGTTTTAGATCAGTAGTGCAATTGATACTGTAATTATAATAAATATAGACAGGAAATGATAGACTTCATGAATCATAGTATCTGACATGATAATCGTTTGTTCCTTTGCAGCTCATTAATTGGAATATTGGAATATTGATATATTTTTTATTTGTTGGGTATGGTCCTCAATGTTGTATAAAGAAACTGTAAAAAAATCAATTTTATCCAAAAGTTTAAGTTGTTAGAGAGGAAGGTCACTGTTGAGATATATAAAATCATTAATGTAGCCTCATCCAACAACTTAAGCTTTTGGGTTGAATTGGTTCTTTACATGGTATCAGAGCTTCGGTATACCGGGTTCGATCCTCACCGCTCCCCACTTTCTTTCTAGTGGAATTTCTTTCTTCGCACAGATAGGTAGGCCTGTGCATCGTCCACCCTTCAAGCCCAGTGGACTCTCGTGTGAGGGGACGTGTTAAGATATATAAAATCATGCTTAAGTTTTTGGGTTGAATTGGTTCTTTACGGTCACATTAATGATTTTATATTATATTTTTTATACTGAAACAAAACAAAAAGAGAATTGAACTGGCATTGCAATAACAGCATCATTAATATATTATTCAGACATAATCATTGTTGGGATTTACATTTAGCATCCCTTCAGTGCTCATGTATCAAACAACACAACCATGATTTTGGCGTGGTGTTTTCAAAGAATGACTTGAATGTTCATACCTATTGTCAAGTTATACATGATTTCCAAAATTTTCACAAGACAATGCTGACACTATGTACCAATTTACCAAACTGCTAGCAAGAAAAGCAGTAACAAGATGAATTCAGGGAAGGAAAATAGGTTTGCATGTGCAGAGTTAGGGAGAAATGGATAGGTATCAGGTGGGGGAAGCATGCATTCATCACCATTAAAGTAGACCTTGTGAGGAAATGCCCACCCTTGCTTGAATGTGAAGGTGTCCTTGTCCTTCTGAAGAAGCAACTCTGACTGAACATTTCCAGTTGGTCCAGCTTCCATTAATAGATCATTAAAGTATTTCATGCCATAGAACATACCAGTGTCATCTGCATACATAATGAAAACTCACTTGAATAATCATTCTTAAAGTTATAGAATTATGTAACACTTAAGAAGATATATTTGCTGACACTCACTTATGGACTCATAGGGAAGAATAGGCTTGTAATCAAAGCTGAAAACTTGGGTGAGATTGTTAAGATTTGGATGCTGAATAGCAAGAGTCCAGAGGGAGTAATTCATCCTGTAATTGAAATTTGTTATGGCAATCTTGACTCGCCAATAGTCTTTATAGTTGAGCTTCACATGCCAGTGGACCCTTATTGGGCACATATGATGAGTGCACTGCAGCAATGGTTCATTGTCTTTCTTTGGAGTGTGAACTCCCAGCATGCTGAGAATTTTAGAGTCACTCCTGCATACCATACCAACAGTGATAAATAATTTGAAATTATCTCTTAAAATATGCCAAGGTTTATCAATTGTTTTGCAATATCAGACTTACTTCACACAATTCTTCTTGTTCTGGCAGCCACAGGCACAAGAGGGACAAGGGGTAATGGTTTCATTATAGAAGGATGACAAAGATACACAACAACTTGGGTTCTTTCTTGCTAGAAATTGTGAGTATGTGCAGGTAACATTCCATGTCACTGCATAAGATAAAAACAAATGAGATTTTTTAAAATTGTTGATGGGGAAGTTGGTGAGGAAATGAATATTGTCAAGTTAGAGAACTTACTTAGTGCTTGAGTCTTGCGGCGCTTGTCAGGTGTAAGGAAAGTTGTGGAAGGAACAATCTTTGCAGGGCCACAAGTATAGCCTGGTCCTGGAGCCAAGAGAGTGAAATTCTTGGGGAGTTTAACTGTCTTGTTTGTGGTACCAGCTTGTCCTACACTCACTTGGAAGGATGAGATAGCTTGTGAAGGATCTTGGCCCCATGCTGCAACCACTCCACCCTTACAACAGTTTGAGAATTGCTGGTTGTAAGGTACACCAGGGAGCAAGTCTACAACTGTTGGAATTTTCTTGCAGCAGTGAGGTATACTGCCTTTGAATTTAGAGCAGTCTCCTTGCTCTGTGGTTTGAGCTCCTACCATGGACCATATAACTTCTTTCTTAGCCCATGTCCATCCCAAGGTCCACCCAGGATTCATGATATGCCGAAACATTTGAAAATTGTGGACTGTTACCACTGCCTGATAGAAAATGCAATAGGCACAGATAGGTAATTTTATTACATGACTGCATGATTGGATTAAATACCTAATAGTTCATATTTTGATGTTATTTTCTTTATAATTAATTTGGTTTCATTGAGGGCGAGCCTTGGAACCTTGGAACCGTAGTAAGGTTGTTTCTTAAGATTGGAAGGTCACAGGTTTGAGTTCGGAAAACAACATTTTTGCAAAAATACAATGATAAGGCTACGTATAATTGACCCTCTCCCTTACCCTAGCAAGTCAGGGAGCCTTGGACATCAGGATTTGTCCTAATTAATTTCATTTCATTTTATGCATTTTACTCACTGTGCAATAAATTGCAATGCTAGCTAACAAAATTGTGACATTATTGTTGGGTATGGCTCATACTTCGCATGCTAATGAGGGCCCCTGTTGTTGGGGTCAGCATAAAAGCAGTGAGGTGAATATAGTACAAACAAGTTGGACGTAGTCTAAATTGGGTGAATTAGGATAAATCACTATGTCAATTCTCGCTCTCTCTCTCTCTTTCCCTTTTCGTTTGCGATTTGTGTGTGATTGTCGATTTCCAACAATTGTATCTATCCCTGCCTTCACATTTTGATCATTCATGTCACCCTTGACAACTAGGCCAAGCTATTTGTTGGAATTTTGTGTGGCTTGGAAAATATAAGACAAGCAGCAATGCAGTTTGTACTTACCACATAGCCATCTGGTGTCCATGACATTATATCCCATTTGATTGTTATGTTTCCGTTTGGATCCAAAGGATCATAAGCAACTATGACAAGAAAAAAATTAATAAATTAGTTGAATCTGCATGTGAAAGTGAAATAAAAATCAGCATGTAATGAAACTTTGCATCTCACCTGCAAAAGAGAATAGCACAAGAACACAAAGAGCTGAGATGACAAGCCTCATTGCCAGAATATTGTGTGTTTGATGTTATCAACTGCTACAATTTGCCCCAACAAGACTCAACCAACTTTCAGCAATGTTGGAATATCTTCAGCTCAATGACAAAAAATTTTAAGATCCAAGAGTTGTTTGGTGGCAAAATGCCATGGCATTGGATGTATAGTATTGTAGGAAAAGAAACTTCCAGGGAATTCTCTTGGGGTTTCACAGTCATGTCTCACCTAATGGTTGTTAGGAGCCTGCACATTTTTATTGCTACATATCACTATCTCACACTTGTGATTTCAGTTCAAGTTTCCATGTCTTAAAGCAACATCCACGGTCCAAAACAGGTTGGATATGTAAGAGTGAACATAACACTTCAACCGTTGCCTTTGAAGGGAAGAAAAATTGTTTGATCAAGGACCTTGACCCTGTGAAAAAAAGAAACAAGGTTTTGAGATGCAAAATTATTATACGGGATCAAAACAACTAGTTAAAGTGATTATTATATTTTATAACTATGAGAAATTGTTTCTTTATGCATCTAGAAAACGACCAATATCAAAATATGGTACAATAGTCCACTTGTGACCAAAACTTTGGTTATATTAGGTAATATCTGTTCCTTTCCTGTAACTTAGCAAATAATTTTGGGAACATTATCTTTATGGTCTTGGTTGCTTTTAGTCTCTGCTTTGAGTCAGAGAAATGAGTTCGAAGCAAGCAAGCAACATAGGGACAGGTAGTGAGTTCTTTTCTGATAAAGAAAGAAAAAATGGGACACCCTAACTGCTGCATGCATCTATAATATATAGCCCTCAAGTTTGAATGCTTCAATATTTGCAGTATTTTGCCATTTAATCTAGGGAAATGTTTTTGTTATGTAACATAACATAAAAACAAATTTTCTACCCTCACAAAAGGAAGAGAGAGGAGAGAGAATAGGAAAAAGAAAAAAAAATTAAAGTGAGTCCCATATAAAATTTGTGTGTAGGAAGATGATTTTATGTTATGTAACATAATAAAAATAAAGCCATTTCTTTTGCCATTTTATAGTGGTTCCCAGTGAATTTAATCAGAAAAAGTTTAAGTTGAGTTACATGAATATAGATGAAATTAAAAAAAAAAGTTATCTAGAATTATAATATGTTAATTGAAGTAATAGTATATTAAATAGTATTGTCCTGAAAATTTATATCGATTACCATAATTACTTCGTCAAGAAAAAGTTAATTATAGTTTTAATTTGTAAATGTGATGCAATATTTTTACCAAATTCTAGAGGGTGACGCCTCATGCTAGGGACACAATATTTATACTCCAATTGTTTCGGTGATTATTACTGACAGATCTTGAGAAGGTGAAATAAAAATGAGAAAAATGTTTATTCTTTTAAATGATACGACTTATATCTTTTCACTCTCACAAAGAGGTGGGACCCACACCTTTATATTTTTTTGTCCTCTCTTTCTTCCTTTATCTATCTCTTTCTCTTTCTTAAAATGACACAACGTTATATCATTTAAAATGATACACACTTTTCCCAATAAAAATATTTGTTTTGTTTTTTTCTTTTTAATTTCTTTTTTCATTCTACAGTATTTTATGGTACATGTATATACAAACAGAAAAATATTTCTGCAGCTAATGCAGATAAGTTATCTGCATTTACTTCCAAAACAACATCATTTTGGAATTCAAAGATTAGAAAATTATAATTATAAAGACTATAATAACCCTAAAATAAATTAAAATTAAAAAAAATACCATGATTTTCGTCCCAAAACAACGTCGTATTGGGCTTACTGCAAATATCTTATATGCAGTAATTGCAGAAAAAGCAAACCCATATACAAAACTACGTAAGAATTTTATACTAAAACTTGGAAGGCAGATTTTTGTCAACTTTGTAATTCTGTGCAGTTCGAATCTGAATTAATCAACAGCGTTCACTAATGACCCGATGCCAAATGATTTATATAAGGG